ACGGTAAGGTGCAGTCTCTTCGTGACGGCCGATTGAGGTAAAGCAACTCTACAAAGCAGTTGATGAAAACACGATATTTATCTGACTGGAGAAACTGAATGAGCTTAGTTAATCGCCGATCAACCATGAAGCGGGAAAATACACTGGCAAGCACATATAACATGAAGTTAATGTTAATGATAAAAAAACACAAACACTCACTTTCAAATGGATAGGCAACCGACGTAAGAACTGAGTGACTCGCTCGTCGAGATAGGGAAACCGGGCTTCACGTCCATGATCGGATATAATACTGTATCCGGAAAGACAGAGCTTAGAATGAGCAGTCTAGTAGACAAGGTGGTTGAATCAGTAATGAAATGAAAGATAATTCCCCCTGGAAAAGAGAACACCCAATCCAAAGTGTCTCCTGTGATAGCCGTTACTACTGAGGCCAGCGCCATGCGTTCGACAGCCGAGTCTACTTTCACCGGTGAAAAGTAACTCGAAATCAGAACATGAAACAATGGATCACCTATTAAACAATCGGGTTTGTCGGTCAGATGTTTATTTGTGGTCGGTGTGCCAGACAGCTTTGTATTGGATGGCAGGTCGGAGCGATTTCAATTCAGACAAGGGTGGAAATGTACCATAGGAAACTATTTTTTTATAAAAACCATATACTCACAGAACGCAATCTCAGTCCCTATAAACGTACCTCCGACAATATCATATAATCACCCTGTCTTCGGAGAGTCAACGCGGAAAATAGTATCTAGAACACTACAATTTGGTACGCACACATTCAGGCACGACAAAATCTACCTTCCGCCCAGAGTCAGGTTGTCGATTGTCACTGAACACTTGAATACATAACATGAAATTGACTGGAAACAAAAAGAACGTTTGATGGAGCTTCACCGAAAATGCGTTTGCCATACATCCCTGTATACAGCCATGTAATACCACCTGAACCGTGCATGTTGCTTAATTCTTGTGTCTACGGTGGAGACAAAACCTAGCCTAATCAGATAATGTTAGTCGTCGGAATATATCAATACGAACCGAAATAACCCAAAATAATCTTAGGTCTAGAGAAGGAGTGAAGCCTGTTTGTGGTATTCGGGGAAACCCAACTAAGTGACGCACGAAATCACAAGCCAAGAATTGCAATGTTTTCATATTTACAAATATAATGCGGCATTACGTGTAAGAAATATATATATGGAAGGGATACAAATATCAAATTATGAGGATTCTCGTCTAAATTGTTGCACAATTCAGTGAAAGTCCAAAGAAAACCCGGATAGAGCAGCAATTCGTTCTGAATCGTGGAAGGGATCAAATATCAAATTATGAGGATTCTCGTCTAAATTGTTGCACAATTCAGTGAAAGTCCAAAGAAAACCCGGATAGAGCAGCAATTCGTTCTGAATCGGTGACAAACATGCGCGGACAGCCCGTGATAAGGCAAGTAGTCAAAAGATAGACGTAAAAATTTTATCGAAATTGGTTCGACATGTTGAAGGTAAAGCGTTCATAAAGAATTGCGGGTGAATATCGAATCCATCATGTAAACGCAGAAAACAGTAATTTCAAGCAAGAGAAGGGTTCGATCGAGGAAAAAGAGAAAGAGAGCACGGTAACCTTTAATTTCAATCATGGTGCAAGTCCGATCTTTCGCCAGTGGTGTGCACCGTCAGACGTGCTTGCATGCTGCACGGTATACAGGGACTAAAGCGAAAGTATTGATGCCCAGATGACATCTCACCCAATGGATCCGTTTGTGAAGACTTAGGAAATATTGTATAAACCCCCGAAAGTACCACTTACAGCAGTGTGTTTGAAAAAAATTGGATAGTCATAATTTTGTCACAGCAGAGAAGGAAAACCAGATGTCATCTCAAAATTCGTTTACCCCGGAAACTCATGCAGAGAAACAAATAACAATGCTCAAATGGCAAACCGTTGAACAAGCGACAGAGCAAGTTGCAATCACTGACGTAAACAATAACCAGATGACAAGATAACATTGTACCACCGTCCCTTTACTTCACATAGTCCGAGCCTGGAAAACCAAATCAATAAGCTTCGCATGCATGGTTTATTCTGTTGTACGACCTTGTGATCAAAACAACAAGTCCCACCTATCCCTACTGATCTACAGTCTGCGTACTGAATCAGAATTGCCTCGATCTTGAAAACAGTGAACTGATAGACCAGCAGTAGTTAGGTATGCCTGACATGCGCTCACAGGCTTGGGTGGTCCCCATAAACGCCACAGTGCTACACAACACGCGAACGAAGCATTGGGAATGCGTGAAAACACTACACACTTGTTTACAATGCCGTGTTTATCAGGTCATCACCTAGGAGATACGATAACACATTGGTTGAACAGAATGTATATTGGATACTGAGATTGTCACCGAGGCGTCCATCAATGGAGCTAATAATCATGAATTCAAGATACACTGCGTGTAACGATTCAAGAACACAATTGATGTTTGGAGATCTGGCTTCCTGGTCTGCAGCCCCTAAATTCCAAATATTTTTTTTGGAGTTCTCGTCTACCGATTTAGAACCAATCAATAAGTCCGGGCTTTGTAGTTTCAGAAAAGTTCTACTGAAAGCAATAAAACGGTTGTGATATCTGACATGTTGAATGTGCAATAAAACAGAAATAAGTACCAGCTAGTTCACAAGGAGAAATAGAGCGACGATAAATCAAATCAGGTGGGCGTTACCGGAGCAACTAGTCAACATTCAATCATCAGTTCGGTGGCAGCAGCACATACGTAAGGGACAAGTGAACAAGAAAGATGTGTACGGTTACCAAGTTGGCACCACAAAGGAATAGATCCTGTTAGTTGGTTAATAACTATTGTGATGCAACCCGAGTATTGACCTGCGTCGGCGTACTTTGCCTATTCTGGTCACAATAAGTAGACAGTGCGATAAATCGCAAAACACATTCATAAACTATAGGATACTAACATACAACAGTGAAAAGTGAAATTCCAACACCCCCCTCCCAACAAGTGATATCCGCATTCAGATCGTTTTCCCAACCAGAGCTTGAACAGCCCGACAAAAATTCGAACAATATCTTTCACAACAACATAAGGCGCTTCTTATTGGATAGGCCATTTTTGGTTGCGTCCTAGAAGGCTTCATGCTTCGGTTGATTTTACGCGTCAACAGGTTTTCCGAGTGAACCTACTACTTGCCACGTCAATCTAAACGATGCTGAGTCCGTACCCGGTGTTATTAGGGCTTATGAAAACCGACTAGTACGGTGACTAGTAGACTTCGACTCATACAAATGTAACTATCGCACTTGACAAATCAGACGACCTCGTGAAGGTTGGCTGTACACTGGGACGTACCAGCCAAACCCTGTTTCTCTTGCCCCTTGTGATTTCGTGGCGATGATCACTACAGTGACGGGACATTGAGTTATAAAAATTCTGTTTTAAACTTGTTTTTCCATCCTAACCCATTAAGCCTTACACACCCCTTTGCATGTATAGTTATGTAGGTACCATAGAACACACACCACTGCCGCATATCTTCATATAAATTCGTGACGTTCGTGCCTGATGACAATGATAGAAATCAGGGTTTATCCACTGCGCTTCTGGTACCCCCAAACTGGAAGATAGTCGATCCTAACCGTTCGAGATCCTCATGAGGAGGTGGATAATTGCGAATCCGCTTGTGTAAGTGTCTAGCGAAACAGGTCAATACCTGATCAAAATGTTTGCACTTCTGTGTTTACCTAAAATCGGGGAGATCATTACAGGTTGCAAGTTGCTTATTGGGTAAATCACTATTACCTATGACTGACTGTCGATGAGAATCAAACAGAACAAAGGCTTTATCCTAATTTACAGCCTCTCAGAAAGTGCATTTCACGTTGGCTTGGTGTGTCTGAATTTCATATGCCCAGGTTATTCGGGCTATGCCGATTTGAGATGTCCCACTGACAACAGTGCACAAGAGGACAGACTAACTGTCGATCCTAAACCGGAGTGTGGCGAGACAAACTTAACCCGATTGATATGGTAATATTGAAAATAGATCAAGTTCGAACCCCATTTACATGTTCTGAAGTGGAGTGTGGGCCACATCAAAGAAATAAACTGACAACCTGATAGTTTAGCGCTAAAACATAGAATACTTAAACTAAGCATATCGTTTTAGATGTGATGGATAGATTGCGAGTGTTTAGAAAACGTAGAATGGACGAGCGGAACCCATGCGTCACGGTCAAGTAGCAATATCAACGGAGCGAAACAACAATCACACGTTTCGCTCACCTCACCACGTTTTATGCACATGTCCGCTCGAGAAATATTCCACTTATTTGTTGTTGTTTTTTTCTTCAACACATGGTCTCCTGAGACGCCACGTCAAGCTAGCCTATCAGACCGATTCGGAATCATGTTGTGCGCTTGTTTAGGCAGAGCAGCGGACACAATATGTGGACCACGCGGGGCAGTGAGCAAAAATTGCACTTTCAGCTGTTGCTTGTGTTATCCGAATTGCACTTGCTTGCTTCGTTTTCCCCCAATTGCTCACGTATCGTGTATGTGGGATAGAAAATAAAAACAAGGGTTCACCCTACGGGTGACGATTCCAATGAAATTCAATCGAACACACGAAGTTGTGTTCTGTCGAACTAGCAGCATCTTATGTGAATGTGCACGAAAGGTAAAAACATACGGGCACTGTCGTTACATCTTTTACCGAAACACTGTTCTATCGCATGGCAAATCGTCATTGCAATATTGGTGACTCACAAAAGCCGAATTATAAGACAAAATGGGTGCGAGAGTCATTGAAAAAAAAGTAGAAATATTGAAACTAACTGCTGATTCGCATAGAATGTGACAAACATCTATCAGTTTTTCACTGTAGGGAAATCAAAACTGCCGAGAAAGGTGCATCAAGTGGAAGGAGGTTTCGTCGGGACGCAAAGAACCGGAATTAACGAAACGTTATTTTTACGAACTGGTATAAAAAGACCACGAGTTCAACGGCGAGTCTCATAAAGTTGCAGAATCACTCTATGCTGCCATCCCACCGGGTGAAATAAAATCCATTTATTCCACCTCACTGCATAAACAGCTCTTACAAGCTTCTAATGATTTCCGGATCAGATTTCGATTGATGCCCTCTCTCGTTTCCCTTCTACTGCAGCACTCTTAACCATTTTGTAGCCTTCAAAATTTTACGTCGGCGCAATATCAGGACTACAAGTTGACCAATCAAATAACTTGAAACAAAGGAGGAAAATTCAAATCTTAGTGAGGTGAGAGACAAAGATCACCGCGTGGCCTTGTTGAAACACCTCTCCCTGGGGTTCAAAGGTGCGATCAAAAGGATTAGTTACTCGAATGCATGGATGCATTGGACACCAACCAGTACTGCTAGTGGTTGATTCTATGAGCCTACAAGGCATGAAACCATATTTTACCTACTGAAACCGGTTTGCTGTGTATAATTCCATTGACCTAGTCAGCTAAAACGATCAATTTCTCGTCAACACCAATCGGTTAGTCTTGGTAAAAGGAGATGCAGTTCACGATAACTTCCGTTGAACGTGAGATCTTTTCTTCATTCCACCATCAGATTTTCCATACCATAGGTATTCCATTTTACGCGTTCAAAGAAGGCATATATGGCCTTGCTGAACTCACCGCTATCGTAGGTCTGTTGATACCTCAATAAAATCCCAAGGGGCATTCGCTTGTGGTGTGTTTTCTATGCAAGATGTAGACACGAGATCATAGCCCTGACTTAAAACAAAAGACCGTTACTCCTTATACTCAAAAGTAGATGAGTAGCTGTTGGAAAAGAATAACTGAGAAGCGTCAGTCGAAATGTTTTCCAAGCCATTATCTAAGACGAAGTGAGTGGATCTCTGGAGGCCTCCAGGAGAAACTTCACGACAGACCATTGAAAAGACTTAACAGGACCATTTTCTGTGGTGGCATTGCGTCCAAATTTCTCTTTGTTCTTGTGAATGGTGGGGTTGGTTTCAGACGAAATAAGAACAGTTGAGTTATGGTGGAAACACCTCGGTGGTCCCATACGTTTCTCACAAAGTATTTTATCTGTTCATAGCCGACCCAAACTTTCAGCAAATTATATCGCTTTCTGTCCCGCTGTTCGCAAGTGGTCTTTGCCCAGTATGCCAGCCAGTAAATCGATGCTCTTGGAGGATAAACAACCATTTACCAAACAGTTTCCGTGATGTACGAGTGGGTGGTTGTTGATCCTGTCTGCCTGATCATAATCATCCCCCAGTTCGGTCCAAGCTGAAAAGCCGAAACGCGCTGTGCAGTGTTTACATCCCTGTCAGAAATCGACAGTGCATACATTAAGATCCTCTAGAGAGACTCGATAATGGCATGGTAGTGAGAGATGAGGCTGAACAGTAAAAGCAATTAAACATACACCATTGTGATGGCACGGTTACCTGCAACATGTGACGGATAACTAATATGGAGGACGTCATTGTATTAAAAGACCGTTTTCGCAAGCGGGCGGCGATAAAAATTGCCATAACGTACCTTGACCGGCCAAATGTTCACAAACGAATGGTCACCCCCTTTTTACTGGCCTAACCATGTCTGCTGAGACATGCCAATTGAGAAGGCAGAGTTCCGATGACGAAAGGGAGTCTTTCAACCTGAATTTTGACCGTGAATGGATTGCACTCCGGCTTTTACCCGCCACTCACACAACCTGTGAGTCCAAATGAATTTTTGTCTGAATCTTTTAAATGAGATCCCAGTTCCTTCGGTTCAACCAAACCGGTTATCACCTGTATGTTTTTTTTACAACGGTCAAACTAGAGCGGTCGTAAATTGTAGCGAACGGTAGACATCACGGTAACGAACAGTTGCCCAGGCCGCGATAACTAATTCGTTCAAAACGACTTAAATACAAAATAAGTATAAATCTAAGCGCAAGGCTGTCCAATCATTTAGAACTGTATGTCATTTGACTATGCCCTTCGATCCATAATCGGCCCGCAAAAACTGTGGCTGAAAAGGATGAATTGTGGTTAAACACATACGAGGCGTTACTTTGAGGGCTCAGTTTAAATCACTGAGCATCAATCCAACGGTCTCCAGCTTCAAAACAGAGAGCTAAAGCATGCAACAAGCACGGATATAATTAGAGCTGTTGCACCGAACAAGCTGGACCTGCAGCGAGAGCAGGCGAACCTGTGCTGATCGCACTGGATAGTCTTCCACTGAAGCGTACACAATTGATCGTCGGCGGCTTACTAGGTCCACCTTTTCAGTCGGAGGTTACCATAGAGCCTGTTGAGACATTGGAAGTGACTTTTCATGATTACCGCCATTCAGACAAAACATGGCTATACGGATACATTCCGAGTCTCGCTTATAGGTAGCGCAACTCCCCGTCTATCTGAAGCGGATACCGTTGGAATAAGCTGTTACTGTGTCAACAAGCCCCCGTTTTACTACTACAACGGTGCTAGAAGCGACTTCATGTGATCGTTGTTGTTCGGATCCACCCGAACGATGGCTAGCACGAAAAAGCTAGGATGCGCTTCCTGAGTGGTGCTGGTTACCAGATGAACCTTTGCTTGCACCGTGGAGCTTGTATTCATTTGAAGTGAAAATTAAAGCCACTAGCTAAACATGCTAATGGCTTTAAAATTGTCCCATCCTGTTCACCCACCGGTATGATTCCCCCGGGTTTACATAGTGTACAAGGCGTTCAGAGGGATACAAATGGGAATCAGTAAGCGGATGCCGTCCCACCATCGATCCAGTTCATGTACAATGGATAAACAGTATCGGACCACTCACTGCTACATCACCACAAATGCTCTGAAAGATGGTGACCATAAGCATGGCCAATAAAACGATGAAATCAGAATCGGTCGGTGCACCTTACAGTCAGTTTCGCAAAACTACCAACAGACTAACTAATAATATGGGTATGAAACAGCTGGCTAGAAACGAAATTCGTGACAATCGCAAAGCCAAATGCACAGATAGGTGTTTCAATCGCCTCATTTTACAAACGAATATTTTGAATACCACCGATTACTACTCAACAAACATACACAAAAACAAACATACACACAAACAAGCATACACAAAAGATAGACCGATAGTTTTCAGACGAAACCCGACAGTTTACTCGCACGAATTTCGATAACGTTTTCAAGTGGGTCCTTAAACACCAACCATAACGCAAAGCAAGGTAACACGATACTCTTGTTGGAAACCCGACAGCACTCGATAGGTGAGAGATAGTCAGATGCATGAGTTCTCAAAATTACGGTCCAACCCACTCCATTTATTTGGTTTTGCTAATCGAAGGCTACTATTCAGAAATACGGGTATGTGAGAAGATACAACATACGGCTTCCCAGTAGCCCGGTTAATGGGATAAACTGCTTGATCACTGAAAATTCATGGACGCGTAACTCGATATTGTATTGAGAACTGATCGTCGTGTCGAGCTATAAATCTATCATACGCACGCGCGTCTCATCAGTATGAAAAGTAATACACAAAATTACTGGGATGAAGAAAAACCTAGTTTTGACCTCCCAAAATCTTGTATGAGAACAATTATTCAGGCAGTCGCACCGGAAATTAGCGCACTGAAGCCGCTGAACTGGCTTAACCAGCCAAGCTTCACCGTCCTGGAAGGGACACCGCACCACAGAACCAAAACTTCTCGTGATCTTTTTCACACGCACGTAGACCAACTAGCCGTTTGCTTGATCCTCAAGCTGGACGATGAGTCGCGGACGCACCACCGCAGTTTCTACAGCAGGTTGTTTGTGCGACTAAACACTCCTCAACGAATTCGACATTCACCTTTCGTGGACTGCCTTTGTCGGAAACATTCCCGTAGGACCAAAGCTCCCCATAAACTTCTGCATTCATCATCGAATTGCAGTAAACACTTCTACATTCACTTGAGGTGAACGTGCAGCCCATAGTGCAGGTACATGCCAGTAGGGTGACCGACTGTGGCGTCACAATCGAATCATGGATCACCGAATATGGGCTGCAGGGGTCTGTCAGGAGCTGAATGCAGTAGGAAACGTGGTGGTATGACACGTATCGTTGTTCTTTCGATCATCATCGTCATCGACAGGGTGACATCAGCGTTCAACACCGATGGTTTATTATGGTTGTACGTGGGATGGGATATCGTCAGGGCGCCCACACCTAGACAGGAGATCGATTAGGGTCCTATCTGGTGCGAAGGATTTTACAACTGCCGTATTTTCCTGTACAACGTAGTTATTTACACCAGGAGCAGTCAGTTCAATGCAAGCTCCGTAAAACAAAATTTGACTGATTTTCGTTTTTCACATATAGGACCTCGTGCGTTCAGTCCCAGGAATTTAGCATGATCAATAAGTTCGACCGACCTCGTCAGACAAGACATTCAACCTGCGAGATTTTGCTTCCTAGCTAGAGAACTGAATCACCAATGGAATCCCCAGTGACTAGTACAGCAGGTTATTGTTGACACCATAGAAAACTCGGTGATCACAAACACATTTGCCGGACATGTTAAGCTGATCTTTGATCAGCGGATCCGCGGATCAGTAAAGTGAACGATGGTGGAAGAAATCAAAAAGGCTACGACAGACTCCACTGAGAAGTCGAAATTTCTGCTGGGTCTGTACGCCAACAAGTTGTTGAAAGTCAATCAGATACAGATCAGTACGAAAAGCCACCACGGTTACGCGATTTCCTCTAGTTCTCATCTCCCTTCCCGCCCACAATATTCAGAATTTTACCACTTATTACTCAAGTAAGTTGTTCGCTTGAATTTCAATAGGCTTTGAAGAAAGCAGTATAGTCCGTTGAATGTAGAAAACCTGTAAAAAACAATTAGGATAACCGGTCGGAAATACAGCGACTCGACATGTGCAGTCCGGAAAGTTAAACTAGTGAGGCTCCAAAGTCACAGGTATAGCGTTCTTGGTAGTGTGAAGAAAAGTCCTTGGACATTGGCAAAACCACTGGTCAGATGAATCAACAAAAGAATAACACGGGAATCACTGTTATTGATTGTGGCTAGAAGACAGAGAGTGATGCTAAAACAAGTAACAGCTGTGCTGCAATAAAAGTTAGTTGATCGACAATGTTATTAGACGATTCCCCAGCCAATGACCTTGAGAGGGTTCCAAGAAACGTACGAAGCTCTCCAAAGATCTGTTTGATAAAGCGAAATGCAAAATGATGAAGGCCACACATACCTATCAATGAGAACCTTCGGCATGGAAAGGTCCTTTACTATATAATTGAAGGTTATGCATATGCATAACGTCTTCTGAAGACCAGTGCGTTTGGAAGTGATGAACGTGATAGCTATTCTCATTGGATGATCGTTACATGCCCTGTTTTGGCTTTCCATTCGGGTGTAATACTATAAACGATACGAAGGTTCAATATTTACCAAAGTCGGCATTTGATTGTTAAACCGTCCAGTACGTAAGTCAAGACATCAACCCATTCGAAGACTTTTGAAGCATAATTACGAGGTTTGCATACAGTTGAGACAGACAACTCAATGTCTTGGAACGAGCGAAAGGAGGAATCATGGTCTGTGTGAGAAATTGAATGACAAAATTAATTTGCGTAATAAACGGTCAGATTGGAATGATCCTTCGAATTTAATCTACAGTTCCCTCAACAGGGTTTCGCACCTTTTGCGTCAGGAGCTTGGTGATTATCAGTTGAAACTGAGCGAAGAATTGTCAGGCTGTAAGTGCTAAAAGACTGAGTGTTTTACCATGAATAGCAACTACAAAATGAAGAAGCACGCGTCAGGGATATCATTCTCCATAGTGCTTAGTGGAACCCTAGTCTTAATTTTTCCCAAGGAATGCGCATGCGCGCATCGAGCAAACTGGCGCTCCCACCGTATTACTGATCTATACCCATCGCACTGATTACAACCCATCCTCGTTTCGGGGGAGAAAGAGTTGTATCCTGATTTGGGTGAGGTTAATAAAGGATCCGTTACTACACCGAATTCGTTGTACCTTTGTTATTGTCATTTTTTCCTAAAACAAGCGAGTGTGGGTTGTAGTACATTACAAGTGACGTTTGTTCCTCAGTCAAAATGTGGCTGCCCTCATATTTAAATGTAAATCGTATGCCGTTCAGACGGATTTCAGACGCAAACCACTAGCATTCTCCTGGAGTCACAGGTCGGTTTATAACAGCAGCACAAAGCATGGAAGAACTTAATTACTGATAAAACGGCATGGATAGAATCAGAAGTTTGCACAATATCAGACGGAAGTACTGGAGCGAGAAAAATGGCGTTGTTCCAAACTGCTGCAAAAAGTTCGGAAACTTAAACCAGAAAATATTAGAAGGACCAGAGAATGGTAGTGTGAACCGAGAGTAGATGAGAGAGCTGACTACTGACAATGCATGTGACTGTTTAGATCGAAAGCAAATGTATGTGAGAATGGGCAACTTCACTTAAATCCAAGTACTGAAGGTGAATCACTGTTGGGACCATAGGATAATGTGGATTCAGTGAATGACTAACGTACAATCTTGTTGGTTCATCAGTAACCAAGCAACTAACAACCTGTCTCATCCGCCACACGGTTATCTAGTTACCATAGAAGTTGTCCTGAATAATACTGGGTTACAACCCCGGCCATCTCATTTCAGATTGTCAAGTCTGAGACCCTAAGAAAATCACTGAACAATGAGAGGGGTTGTAAAGGTCAGCAGAAGATGCATCTGTATTTTGGCCTAGGTTAGATATATCGGATCAGAAAATGTTTACTTCCAGGGTTGATTCGTATCTGCATCGTTCAAAAGAACACCAAGCAAGGAATCTCCGCTTGATAACCCGGTGATCATCAGAGAATCCACGCTCTAGCTGATTTGGAAGCAGAGAAAGGACCAAAAGAGTTCAGTTCCTTGTTGACTGACTGCAGAGAGGTTACTGGCCAAAGAATGATCAGCACAACACAGTTAGTGAGATAGCATCGATTTGCAGTCACAGACCGGGATTGACGGCCTTAAAGTACTTTGACCGGGCTGGGCTTCGAGTGGAGGTCTTTGCTCTCAAGGATGAGGTGTTAAGGTAAGTTGCGAGAAAAATGGACAACTTAGTGTGATAAGATGCAGTTGTTTCGATCGTTCAAGTTCGGGTGCAAACTGAAGAAGGTGAGCTACTCTAACAGGTTGTTCCAGATACTCTCCCAACTATTTTTAGTGGCGTGTGACAATGGTTTTGAAGTGAAGAAAAGCAAACCATGCATCTTCGATCCCCCACAAGATAGTGGGCTAATGCACTAAAAGAACTCGCCAAATTTCACTACATATCCACCCAGACATTCTGATGCTTGAAACGCAGGGGTCTATCGGGATAATTAAAGGCTTCAATTACATGAGCATGCGATCCAGATCACTGAAGAACACGGAGAACGAGATAACTTACCGGTCGTCTCTGCCCAAATTGCGTTCTGATATCCGTCGCATTTCCATCACAAGTTCTTTTTCCAAGGCTTCTGGTCCATACTGTCTGCAATAGAGGCGAATGAAGCAGATAGAACACTGCCGTTGGAAAACCCAACACATCAAGTATATTGTGTCTGTTTTGGCATCTAATGTTTCATGTCTTGATGTTTAACTCGTGATCAGTGGTATCCAACTCAAGGACGTTTGAGCAATTGAGTTAATTCGGATGAACATGTGGACCACAAAACGCAAAAAACCCTTGTCAGCGCACGACGACGGAAACCCGACGTTCAAAAGGAGTGTCACGGTCGAAGATGTTACAACACAGTCCTCGTTCGCAGATAAAAAACAGCTACAAAATCCCCTCTGCGTGGGTCAATGTGAGAGGCCGAAAACGAACACTGTTGCCAGAAGGTTGAATTCTCGGGCTTAAGGTTTTCGGGTAAAGCAGATCACACCAGACGGATGGTTTCTGTAGACAGGCTTTACTGTATTTATCAGTAGAGCTCAGAACTGGCACATTTTCATGTAACTTCAATAACACAAGGCATGAATTAGCATGATGACAGCGTGCGTGTTGAAAAAAGCTTATCGTGATAATGGAAGCACTAATGACGAGCACGATGGCTACAGTTGTTCTCTGAATGGACCTTCTTCAACATCAGAAAAAAGTTCGCCCCAGTAAACAGTCTCTGTTGAGGCACGACAGTAGCATGATGCGATTCCACATTAAAGTTTGCGGGGCATACTGCATGGCGCCACACAGAGGTTACCTAGTGGCTTCTCAGAGTATATTCGATATACAGAAGTAGTAATCTCGTAACGTTGATGACGCCTCTAACAGCCCACCAAAGGTGCTGACGTTCTCTAGGTAGGTATGGTATCCAAGCCCCATTTCCTAGTTGTATAACAAATCATAAGTGGAGTCAAACACTCGTTCGGAACTCGATTTGGCGTTAAAAATAGGGTCAGGCGAGTGTCCATGCTATAGGCTGTTGATCTGTTCGCCGATCTTGGCAATTGACTTGCAAACACTTCATCAACATACGAGATGATATTATCAGAGCGCCGTTGGGTGCGTTCATATAGCATCTGAAAATCAACTAAGTGCCTAATAGGAAGAGTCTCCGCGAATTTATTGATACATTTGAGATCTACGTTGCGCTACCGTCTGTGTTCCTTCTCATTTGATTATTTATCCTTTTTTTGACTTGACTGCGTCCTTCACAAGTTGCATTGCGTTGTGGTCCGATCTCCTTGAGATTGATTGGTTGGTTGCGTCGCATATTTTGTACATCGTAAATGATGGTGTACCCGCCTCCGCCAGTTAATGTGGTGCATCAATTCACTGGTCGGGTACCCTTGCTTTATTGGCTGACAACTGTTTATTGATAGTGGAGTTTCAAATAAAAGTTTCACAAATTCACGTTGTTACTTTATTCTTGCTTGACCCAGTATGAGAACGCCACTACAGTCGAACTCGTGTCTTTCCTGATATTTGTGCAGGGAGATGAGAGAATCGACTAGCTTGTGTTCATGTATTCTGATGGAGACCTCCCTTCCGTCTGCCCCACGTAGAGCTCGTCGCAATTTCCGCACTGCATCCTGTTCTTCAACATCGGATGCAACTTTCTTCTTGGTTTCGATAGCGTCCTTCACACCATGTCAGCAGGTTTGTGGCATTGTCGTATTGTGCTGTCGTGAGAGCGTTGCCGCCATTTCAACGGTGTCCTCAATGTACGGCAGGTTGGCTCGTTTGCCTCTACGTTGTGCTGTTTTGTTATTCCTACTCAGCTTCCTGTGTGATCTTCAGATGAAACTCCTTCGGTACCTATAGTTCTGTCGACAATTCAGCTGCTATTCAGTTGAGTTTTCCGTTAACACCAGGTTAACTTAATGTTCAAACGGGAAGAAAATTGAAGGAGATTAGAAACTCGTAAAGAACGCTATTGTATTGCTAGAAACCAGGGAATAATCGAGATTACAACCAAACCACCGCCGGGTTGGAACCTCTTGTCGCTATTGCTGCAGTTTCCAGGACGTCTTCGAAAGAGAGCTCCACAAACGTGACCATATGGCTTTTCAACCAGTTGGGATAAAAATACCGATCACAGGCAAAAAATACGCGAGCTATTATTTTAAAATAAACAACATAATTAAAGGAGTGAAATGACATCAAAGAGCCCCTGCATAACAGCTGAACATTTCACACCATGTCACCCGTAAACGGTTGTTTATCCTCAAAGAAAGCTTCAACATCAAAACAGAGTGACAAAAAAAGAGATGGATTATCAAGTTAGTTAGGCGCAAGCAACTGTAAACAGCACTATCCGAGGCGATTGAATAGATCTAATTTGTATTCTGCGTTTCGTTACAAACTATGAAGGGGAGGATAATCACGTGCCTCCGGCAAAAATGGAGTTAGCAGGTTATAAAGAGATAAACTAACATTTGTGAACTGAAATATTAGCTGACTTTGTGACACCATTACAGTACATATCGACGGAAACATATCGAGTGAAACACGACTGAGCTTACAAAATGTGGCAGAGTTTTGGGTTTGATTGCCCACTCCCTGCGTCAGAATCACGTCTAAGCATCCGCAACCCTTATTTGTTACCAAGTACTGCGTATGAACGGGATTTAGGGTCTACTTTATTATTCCAAGCGGATATAAGTTCCGCAAATCATGTGGTCACCCACAACTAACCTTTTTATTCATTCGTCAGATTCTCATTCAGCTGAGGATATCGACAACATCCACGTGTGTTCCTTAACACAGTCGTTTCAGAAATTAATGGATACTATTAAGTTAATTAGTCGAGTACTTATTGTATGGTGGAGAACGCCTTTGCTACGGGAAATAGCCGTGTCCTATATCAACCGATACGATCGACTGGCCCTAGGAAAGCAACGGTCAGCGAAACAATCAGTGAACACTTCGAAGAACAGTTCAGCTGGCCTCCTGCAACACATCCTGTGGGGATAATGCACACGGGCGAATGGAGTGTAAACCTTGATCGCCCTTTAAAAGAAGAAATAAGGTACGAAACCTACGTGATAGAACGTGAGAAGGCACCAGAACCGGACGGTCTGTATCCAGTCCCCTTCAAAGAAGACGAAAAATCCCTGGTGACCCATCTGACAAAGGTTATTGGTACCATATGCGATGAAGAGAAGGTGCCTACAGGATTGCACATGTCGACAATTATTCCTATCTTCAAAGCGTGTAGGCGGATGTTGTGTCAAAACCACCGTGGCATCAGCCTGTTAGCCGTGGCATCGAAGGTTGACTGAACACAAGGGTAGACAGGCACGTGAAAACAAAGCTGGGTTCCATCCTGCAAGAGTTTGCATCGATCATATCTTCACCCTCCGACATTGCTTCCAGAAGCCAACAATGGTTGTGTTCCCTGATCTGAAAGCTGTTTTTGACTCTGTGGACAGTCAGGCACTATGCCTGTGGAGCAAAGGTGTCCCCTCCTTAAGGCTCTGTACGCCAACTCCCGCGGCCGTGTGAAGGTCTACGGGGGCTCTCGTCTGAGCTCACCACATCAAGTGGTGTCCAACAGGGCTGTCCTCTTTCACCTTTCTTCTTCAACTTCGTCATCGATACGATCATGGAAGACTCACTACCAGCCTCTACTGCCTGTGGGGTCGACGTGCTCCCTGGGCCTCCGCTCACACATCGAGTACGCAGACGACATGGCTCTTCTTGGACCTGACTCCGTAGTAATGCAAACAATACTAAATAATCTGAATAATTTTGCTTCACGATTCGGCATGCGCTTCACACCTGTAAACAGGAAGGTGTTACTAAAAGACTGGGTGGGCTCGAACTCTAGCCTCATGCTTGCGGATGAACTGATTGAGGTAGTGGACAAATTTGTTTAAGTTGCCAGCTGTATCAGTCCCGGTGATATTTTTAAACGGATTGGGAAGGCCAGAGCAACTTTTGTGAACCTGCGACACCTTTGGCGTGGATATGATATCAGTTTCAATGCCAAAGTCGAGTTTACAATGCTGCGGTGAGCCCTATATTACTATATGGATCAGAAACGTGGCCGCTGCGCACCGAGGACGTCAAAAGACTTTCAGTGTTTGACCATCCACGTCTTCGGAGCATTGCCTGAATCTGGTGGGAACACCGGATCAGCAATTCTGAAGTACGTCGAATGGTATTCGGGAGAAATAACTCACCCTCGATAGATGAACTGATCACACTGCATAGGCTGTGGTGGCTTGGCCACATGCAGCGTATCGCAGTCGACCGAATTCCCCGAAGGGCTCTTTACGCACAACCAAGTGAAGGGTGGAGAAGAGTCAGAGGCAATCAAACAAGCGAAGCATGAAAGCCACTACCAGCAAACTCAGCTGCGCTTGATGGGGACCCCGAGACGGGGCACATCTATGGCTAGAGACATTGTCAAACATGGCCCGGTAGCGCCCTCAATGGCGCTCATGCATCCAAGATATTGCCTTCAATGCATAGCTCCCTTCCCAATCCACCACTTAACAGTCCACTTACAGTAGTGTATTTACGCACTAATTTATCAGTTCCCGCCTCCAATGATGCATAGCTACCTACCCCACCTTCCCGAATCACCGCTGAACGAAACTGTAGCAGCTACAACCAACATATGACACGTACGCGGTTATTACAGCCGACAATTATGATATGGTAGATGAAAAATGCTATTAAAACCTATTCAAGCTAAGAGCAATAGCAAGAGAACTTTATGTCACGCCCTCCATCTTGAAACTCATAGAAAAAGCCTGCAGTAACAAACATGTTAAATTCTGGAGAAATTCGGCATCCCAGTTCCCCACACTTCCACTATTGCCAACGGTAAATCACCTATGGCATATAAGAAGTGCTACTGTCGTTAACATACCTCGACACTATACTCATCATGTTGTTTTTGAAAAAGTTTGGATGGGACTGATCGTGAAAAATACTTAAGGGGAGTAATCAAGATGTCATAAACCAATGAGTACTGACTGAAGCGTTGTCCTTCTGAGATGCCATTCACTCACTTTGCTGTGCATTCGAAGTAAGAGTTT